GCACCAAAGACGTAACCAAAAAGGATATTTTGATTGCCAAGATAGCTCTGAAATGTCTTTGATGAATTTTGAGAAGGTTATGGAGCGGAAGTAATATCTATGGTAGCTTCTATAGAAATTCGAAAAACTGAGACTCCCTGTCTCTCATGGTTTAAGGAAAGTATGTAAATGCATAAGTATTGAAATGATCGTACCGAAATATATCAAATTGACTTTTTTGTACCGAACTATATTATAATGAATTTGTGTACCTAAATATTTGTATTGTGACAAAATATATTTATAATGAGCTAGTGTACCTAAATATCTGTACCGAAATATATTATAATGGATTAGTGTAGACTTAGAAAAAGAAAAATGGAACTAGATCCCCTCCTAAGCATAGGGTGGGGATCCTCCTGACCGGATCATCTGGGCCATTGAAATTTGATCCAACGGTTATAATAATTATAACTTTTAGAGGGCTCCCTGTTTGTAACCGTTAGATCAAATTTCAATGGCCCAGATGACACGGTCAGGATGAGGATCCGGTTCCAAGAAAAATCATAAAATTATCAAAAAGTAAAATTAAAATGACAAAGAATATAAATACTGGCATTTAAATAAAATCAAATGACTAAACGCAAGTGATCATTTTCCACAGTGATAGAAAGATATTGAGCTTTTGCATAACGACGAATGCTCGAACTCCGTCGATCAATGACTAATCTAACATCTAAGAGCATTTCTAAAGGAGATGTTAAAATCCTAGGTGGAATGCCATTATGCATATTTGATATCAAAAGTCTTTCCAACCAAAATGTTATTTGCTGATTGGATTTAAAGTCAAATTTGACTTCAATGTCAAATTTATTTTAATAGTGGATTCCTTATTCCACTAACATTTCAACTAATAAAAATTTTGTTTTAACATTTTTTAATAATTACAACCATTTGAAACTCTATTTAAATAATAAAATAATATTTGACAATTCTGTTGGAGAAGTACAAAATTTGACTTACGACTTCAGATTGCCACATCAACCATCAATTGTATTTTGACTTTTATAATTTGACATTTTGTTTGACAAAAGAACAATAAGGACTAAACTCAATTTTAAATCTTGTAGAGATATTAATCTAAATTTTATGAGTAAATTGTACAAATGGTCCCTCAATTTTAATCAAATTGGAGCAATGGTCCCTCAACTAAAAACTCATTACCTTTGGTCCCTCAACTTATCAAAACGTGCAGCTATGGTCCCTCAACTAAAAATTCATTATCATTGGTCCCTGAACTTTAATTCAAGTGGAGAAATGGTCCTTTAACTTTAACCCAATTGTAGCAATGGTCCTTCCAATATAACTCGTTTTGACAAATTTTTTGACATAGTTGACGAAAAGAACCATAATTATACACTTTGATGAGTTAATGGACCCTAATTATATAAATGGTCATTCCAACATAGCTTATTTTGACAAAATTTTGACAAAATTGATGAAAATGACTATAGCTACACATTTTGATAAGTTGAGGGACCAATGGTAATGGATTTTTAGTTGAGGGACCATTGCTCCAATTTGATTAAAGTTGAGGGACCATTTGTACAATTTACTCAAATTTTATTTAAGAATATAAATGATGGCATTTAAATTTAATGAGCATTCTCTCCAGATCCTCTTTATGAGGATCCTAGAGATTCTCAAATCGTGTCCATTCATCATACATTGTACGTTTAGTTTTTGTCAAATATTATTCATATTTATTTTTAAATAAAAATATTTAAAATGATTTTTGACTGTCCGATGTACAATGAACATACAAAATTTAAGGGTTTACAGAATCTTTACAAAGAGGATCTCCTCATTCATTTAAATTAGTAAACTTTAATGAAAAGCTCTCTGTACTGTTCACTTTAACGAAAAACCATATTTTTACACTAAAAAGTCAATCATAGTATTATTCACTTTACTTTTTATTTTATCCTTATATCCTTTTCATTAATTTTATTTTTAAATTATCCTTCGTAGTCCACGACATGGAACCCACTAATCCACGTCTTAAGTCCAAGTTCCCCACCCCCACCAAAGACGACCCATTCAGACACGTGGCACACAACCATGAGTCACCTTAGCCAATGCGCCTAACAAGTGGAACCGACACCTCAGCGGCCTCATCAGCCCCCAGTGCCCTTTCCCGGACCCACTCTTCCCACAGGCTACACTCGGTTGCTCTACGCTGCTTATCACCGGAAACATCGGCGCCGGAGCGCGCCGACTCTGCCGCTTCCTAATCTCATTCATGTCCATCTCCGGCTGGTACTTCACCAATCCTATGAACACCTTGTGCTTCCGCGAATTGCTCGACTGCTGGTGCGACCGGCAGGTCCCAAAAGCTGGCACCAACTCCGATCCCGGTGACCGGTGCGAGTAAGGGTGGGAGGGAGATGAAAACTTCAAGGATTCGGACCGGGAGAACAATGGGTTTTCGAATAGGGGCTCTTGGGTCCGAGGGGAAATGGGTTTTCCGCAAAAAAAGACGTCCATGGGGATGTATCTCCGGATCGGGTCGACCCGAAATTCAAAAAGGTCGTCCGGGGCGGAAGAATAAGAAGCGGAGGTTATTGGGTTCTCTTCCGATTCGCCATTGTCGTCGTACAGCGGGAGATCGCAGAGGGAAAGGGCATCTTCATCAACTTCTTGCTGCTGAAAATCTGAGAAAGTTTCCATCTTTGTGATCTGGGTAGTGGTGCGATTGATTTGTTTGTGTTGTTGGTTGCGTTTGGTGATTAGGGGAGAGCATCTGTGCGTGTATATATATGGGGTGGGAGTGGAGACGTAGCGTTGGTGGTGTTGGTTTTGGAGCTTCTGGATGAACAACAACTTGGTGACTTGAGATTTTATTGAAAAATAAGGGGAAAAGGGGATTAAAAGATGTATTAAATTAGAATTTAAGAGGATTTTAAAAGATACTTTCGAGTGGCAGATTTGATCGGATTAGTATAATCCAAATGGACTTTTTGAGGATTGTGGTGGATATTTTTGTAGATTTTTATGGATTTTCAGATATTTTGTTGTCATTCATCAAATTTCTTAAATGTTTCCTTTTAGACATTAAAAAACTAATGATTAAAGGCCAAGCAGCCACCAGCCTCGCGTTTCATCAGCAAATCACCGGCACAGTAAGATATTGGCGAATGCAATATGGTCGTATGCTAATTAGACCCAACACAGTAAGATATTATATAAGTATTTCAAGGGAGACCGGAAAGAGGAGGTGCCGGTGGTGGTGGTGGTGGTGCTGATAGGAGGGGTGAGCGGTGGGTGCCAGGGTGTAGGTTAGGTGAAAAGACGCCGGTAAGGTTTGGGTGGAGAGAGGAGGAGAATCCAATGAAATCTTTGGGGAATGGTGGGTTCTTCGTAAGATCAAATCTTCTGCAATGAGTATGGCTTATACGTGGATTCAATAATTGTCGGAGATGTGTTTATAAACTTAATTTTTCTGAATTTTGTTTTTATGAACTTAATATATGTCAAACAATAATTAGAACTACAGAAAAGTCATATTCATTTTAGATGCAGAAGATTTGATCTCGTTGTTTCTAACCCAAACATATGTATTTTTTATCCTATAATCTACTAAAATCCACAATTTAACGAAACATTGAAACCTACCTAGATTTGCATACAGATGCTTAAAATATACAAAAATATTATTCTTATCATTTGTTTGTACTATCATTTATTAAAAAGATGGTACAAATAGATGGTAAAAATAACACCACTAAAAAATCTTTAAAATCCCAAGAGTAATGTTAAACATACCATGTATTTGTACCATAATTTTATATCATCTCTTTAATAGAGATAGAGCCACAAACACATGTGGATACATTAGAGAGTGAATCCATTAGAGGGACGATATAAATACAAGAATAACATTTTTCGAAATCGTAATTGGCTACACATAAATTTATAAACTTAAAATTCTAATTGACTATCTTAAAATTTTAAATTTTTTCAAAATTCTAGTTTGACAACACCCTAGTAGTCCGAAATCCATCAAAATTCTAATTTAACACCACCCCGAAAGTCCAGAAAAGAAGTCAAAAGAGAAGAAAATGGTTAAATCCGACTAAAAAGAGAGAAAGATGAATTGGAATGTTGTTTGTCTAGAAGGACTAGAAAGCCCGGGGGCTAAGTGAACAAACTGAAAGCTTACTTTTAAGATCGTAATTGATTACACATAGATTTATAAACTTACTTTTAAAATATCGTTTAAATTTCTGATTGACTGCCTTAAAATTTTAAAATACTCTAGAACTATAATTTGACAACACCCCGGACGTTTGGAAGACCAGTCAAAACAGAAGAAAATGGCCAAAACCTAGGAAAAAGAGAGAAGATGAATTGGGTTGTTGTTTGTCTAGAAGGACTAGAAAGCCTGGCAGCATGGTGAAAAACCCAACAGCAGGAAGATATTAAAAGAAAAAAAAATGGAAAGAAAGGGGGCATTCCGAGAATTGAACTCGGGACCTCTCGCACCCTAAGCGAGAATCATACCACTAGACCAAATGCCCACTTATGCTTCGTAAGTTCAGTTTATTTAATTTCACTACAGTTAATTTCGTAACTTCGTTTTTATGAATGAAATTATTTAACTTAAGGCTAGTTTGAATGTGTTTTTAAAATAACTAGAAGTGCTTTTAGAAAAAAATGTTTTTTGGTTCCAAGTTATGTGCTTATTCTAGGAAGCAAAGTTTTTTTCCATAAGTTACTTGCATTTACTAAGAATTAACTCCAAATACATTTTCACCAAAAACGCTTTTAGTCATTTTAAAAATACATTCAAACGATCTCTAACTTATTAAACTTCACAAGGGCCCTTTAAAATTGGTTATTGTGAAGTTTTAAATGGATGCCACATTGTAACACCGCCTGAAATTTGGGTGGTTAAGTGTAAATAATTTAGGTGAGTTCGTAATGTCATGAAATTGGAAAAGTTGAAGTCCATTTGTGCAATTTTATCTTTTTGGGTCAGATTTCTTTAGAGGTGTTAAACCCTGAAAATTGGTTTTCTTGGTAGCTCGGAATCGGATCAAAAAATGACGAGAGCGGCTCTCCTTCAGTTGCTGCGATCACAGTCCAGACACCTCGCATCCTCAAGCTTCCGCTCAGGTTCTTCTTCCTCCCCCCCCCCCTCCTCTCTCTCTCTCTCTTAAATTTCTCTACCGATTTGGGGTTTAGGGTTTAAGATCTCTCTCTATCTCTCAATTTCATTTTTCATTTCAATTTAATCGAAATAAATGAAGCATACGAAGGACCCAAAGTGCATGCTCTACCCAATTGACCACTTCAAAAGAATCAGAACAAGCTCAATTTCCCCATGTTTATTTCTGATTTCAGAGACCATTTTCTGGATCTTCTTCTACTAAATTAGTAAATTTGGTAAAAAGTTACACACTTTTGGCTTGGCTTCTGGTTTTGGCAAATTCCAAACGGGTTTGTTGGCACCCAATTGAGGTTTTTGCTATTTTCTGGGAACCCTTATTCCTAATTCAAAGTGTTTTTCGTGTTCCCCACGTGCATGTTTTCTAGAAATTGGACCGCTTTCGGTCTAGGTAGCCGAATTACTATGTTGGAGTGTATTACTGCTAGGTTCTAACACAGTTTTGGATATGGTGACTGTCGATGCTGTTCTGCTGGCAATCTTCAGTTTCCCTTTTTAACTTTTTCTACTATTGTATCAAATGGTAACTTTAGTTTTCGATTAGTAATTGATAATGGTTCGTGGAGAAAGCTTCCGTGATAATCATATGATTGATCGCGGTTATTAATCTGCTTTCTTCTCCTTCAAATGAAGCTTATGTGAATGTAGGGAACAGAATCCATCTTCACTCTCTTGAAACATGGAGAGAGTGGAGCATAGAAATCAAAAACGGGTCCACATTTTATTAAGATCTCCGGAGACTCCCATAGATTCTCATAGTTAGGTGCTTCAAGTTAGTGAAGTGTTGTAGTAGTGCCGAAGCCCTATGTTTTATACATTGTTAATGTTGAGCCGTTTGCATAGCAAAGTTGTATTTGATATGGTAAAAGTGTAACTTCTGTGATCCTTGGAAGCTAGATCAAGTTCTACCCATGAGATTCTGATATCATTGTTTTAGTAATTTGCATTGTCTTTAATGCGTGCTCACCTGAAAATCCCCCTCTTTCTCTCTAACTCGCTTGTTATTTCTTTTGCATGTTCCTCACCTTTCCAATTCTTTTGTTCTTAATTATTTTTCTATCCAAAACTCCATCTTCCATCTTTTGTTTTTCCTCTCCTTTTATTTATATCCGTCACTATTACTGATGGCCTTCTTCAGGTTATCAGCCGTGCAGGTCTGCAGCATGGGCTGCTAGTCTGAACACTAAACTGGGTTTCAACTCTGGCTTCGAGATCAATGCTTCACAGAAACGATGGGCTTCTCGTGCCACAACAAGAGAAGATGATGGCAAAATCAGCATTGGACCACGCAGGGGTGGCGAAATTGGGGAAGATGAAAAGGACTCTGGGGTTGTTTACTATGGCCCAATCTCATCTACTATCAAGAAAGTGAAACTTCTCTCGCTGTCGACCTGCTGCCTTTCTGTATCTCTAGGCCCTGTGATAACCTTTATGACATCTCCTGGTATGAATGTGATCTTGAAGGGTGCAGTGGCATCTTCAGTGATATTCTTGAGTGCTTCTACCACAGCCGCTCTTCACTGGTTCGTGACCCCATACATTCACAAGCTCAAGTGGAAGCCTGGTTCAGACAGTTTTGAGGTGGAAATGATGTCATGGCTTGCAACATTCATTCCGAGGACTATTAAATTTTCTGATATCCGGCCAGCAGAAACCAACAGGCCTTTTGTGACTTTTAAGGCCAATGGAAACTTTTACTTCGTGGACGCAGATCATTGTCATAACAAGGCTTTGCTAGCAAGACTGACCCCGCAGAAAGAAACTCGTGAGTCGGCTTTTAAGAACTTATGATCATGTGACTCCTAGTCTCGGAAGTTTTGCTCGTTGTGGCTGAATTATGTTATAGAAATCATGTATTGCAATGAGATTTTGTGGCACGTACCACTTTTTTTTTAGACACCGACACTGGTTTCGGGTACTTTGGATTAGAGAAATAATTGACATTTGCTTAATATGATTAGTGTGCTCTGCAAACCCCATCCCCATATCTGAAGCATTGTTCTAAGTTTCTTGTATTTTGTTTGATATTTTTGGTGGATTATAAGAGCATGCTTAAAGAGTTCGTCTGCTTGCACAAGTTCAGCATTCTACACTGCAGACTGCAGAGAGATCCCTTAGGATGCAATCTTGCACACTAAATCTGAGAAATCTCCATTAATTTCTTCTTTTGCTTCTGCAAGTTTAGGACCAGAAAGCCTTATGCGGTAGCTCAATTTTTTTTTCCTTCATTTTTTATGTTTTGGTTTTTCATTTGATTCGAGTATTTATATCTGACAAAAAACAATGATTATATATTTAAGTGATGGAGCAGCCATATCACCAGTAGTGGGGCCATACCCATGCCACGTTAGAGTTTTAACCGATTTATTAACATAATCTACAAAAATTGGCAAAGTGAAACAAAAATTGAGTTAATTGGCGAAATTTGAGTTTCAGTGGCAAGACAAAATCAAAGTAAAGTTACATGGTTGTAGCAAAAAATAAGCTACAAAAGAAAAAAGATCCTACATTTTCAATTACTTCTACTCAACTAAGATTTTTTACACGTGTAATGTAATTTTGAAAGCTACGGGCACCCGATGATTAGTATGGTTTCACTTAAATCCTCACCTTACATAAAGGACAACCAGAATGACCTGAAGCTCTAAGTTCAGTGAAGAACCAGACTCGTCAGTGACAAGAAGATCTGATATGTTGTCGCATAACCCAAAGTTCTTACACCTCCAAAGAGATTTACGATGATGTCGTAGAACCCAAAAGTTTCATAGTTGCAAGCAGATTGACGATGATGTGAGCAACCAGAATTTTCTCTTTGAGGCACAAAGAGAGTCATATATTGAAAATTCACGCAACTTGGATTTTCTCGTCGAGGTATAGACTAATGGTATAATTCAACCGACCGTCAAACTGAAAGGTTGAATTAGATTTATTTGGGAATAATTATTCATGTGTGATGATATCATCATCAATATGGGCCATACTGTCCTCGAAGTCATCAAGCCAGGCTGCGAAGAACAACTTAACCTGTTAGAATATGATCACGATAACATGATTTTTACGATACGTGTAATCTGTTGGAAAATATTATTATTTTGGTTTATTTGAATGTTTGGTTTTTTGGCTTTAACCCATTAGAATTAGGTTTTGTTAGAAATTAGGGTTAGTTTATTACAAATAGGATGTTTTGTTATTCATTAGAGAATAAGAAGTCATTCACAATGTAGCCTCTTAGGTTATATAGCCGTCATGATAATCTTTCGTTTACTTAATAAAATTATATTAGTTTATATTTAGTTTGTTCGTTTGTTCATTGCGTACTCTGATATTCAACTTGGTATCAGAGCAGGTTAACTTGGAATTAATCTGTTTTGGGGTTGATATCGATTTGTTTGTCTTTGTCTGTTCAATATCAGTTATGTTGTTAAAAAAAAAAAAAGGGTTGAATTTGTTTGCTTGGGAGGGCCGAGGCACACTGTGCTGAGCCCAGAACCCTAGTTCGAGACCACTGCAACACCAGATCGATTCCGCTCATACCCACATCACCACCCACACTTCACTGCCTGCCTAAACCTTCCGCTGTATCGTCACCCAGCCACCAGCCTTCGTACCAGGTTTGCATCGTCGCACCACCAGCCACGCCACACCTCCTTGTTGCCTAGAACTCGGACATGTACGATCCTATTATTGTTCGCATCTGACGCTGTAAATTAGCCCTGAACCTGTAAACTCGTCCGCCCATCTGCACGCTGCCGCTGCAACCAGAAACCCAGCACATCTGCCTTTCGAATCCACCCTGCCGCCAAGCCACCTAGTCACGCCTCCACCCATTGCCTGAAATCTCGCAGCCGTCACTTGCTTCCTCGCCTGAAAAGCTACAACCACACCTCGGAGTTTGGGTTCAGAATGTTGGTATGCACATGTTTTGCGCCCATTTTTGCTACCGGAACCGAAGAAAGAAGAAGGAAAAAATAGAAAAAGAAAAAAGGAAAAAGGAAAAAAAGAAAAAAGGTATGGAGCCCACAATCTATTGGGCTATTATGATTTGTTTGAAGGCCTTTAGTTGGGCCTTGTTGATTGAAGCCTAAATTGTTCGTTTGCTTGTTTGATTGCTCGCCCGCTTGTCTGTCAGCGTTGCGGAGCCTACCTGTTCGTTTGTCCGCCTAACGGAGCCAGTCCGCATCTGCTTATTTGCAAACCCATGTCATATACTGCCATGAGTTTGATCGGGGTGGAAAATATTAGTGTTTTGGTTTATTTGAATATTTGATTTTCTGGGCTTAGTCTGTTAGAATTAGGTTTTGTTAGAGGGTTAGTTTATTATAAATAGGGTGCTTTGTTATTCATTAGAGAATAAGAAGTCATTCACAATGTAACCTCTTGGGTTATATAGCCATCATGACAATCTTTCGTTTATTTAATAAAATTATATTAGTTTATATTCGGTTTGTTCGTTTGTTCATTGCATGCTCTGATATTCAACTTAATCTTACACCATAACATTGGTGTATTAATATACATATGATTGTAGTGAAATAAGTTAATTAATTAATAAAAGAAATAATATAATTATTTATTTATTTACTTAATTAATTATAAAAATAAATGAACAATTGTATTTCAACGTGAAAAGTTACAACTTCCCTTGAAGAATACAACTCCTTCAGAAAGGTTATTTTTGTCTCTATATATTTGTCAAATCCTTTTCTATCACATTCATTCAATTTCATAATCACTCTCTATTTATATCTTTCACACCATATTGTAATCGATAGTTTAAACGACATTTGTTTCCGATCCTATGAATTTCCATTATAACCTTCTAGTGGCTAGCTATGACCGATGATCACTTTATTACACGCTTTGCAATTGAACAAGCGTTTGTCGGTGACCCAATTGACGTCATTGTTGTCAAGTGTCACCCCATGCAAATTAGAAATCATGGTGTTCATAGGTTTCTTCATTCCTCTTATTTCCTAGTAAATATATTTAGTTTCGTCCAACATCTTATTTAAGATAAGTCAACTTGACTATTAAACATATGTAATTATTGTGTACATAAAATGCTAAATATTTCTTAAGCATTTTATGGTATATTATCGAAGGCGAGACATTTTCCTATCAAATTGAAGTTTGAAAGAAATGAATATGTGCCTAAAACAAAACCAGTTCACGTACATATTTGTATAATGGTTTGTCATACATATTCTAATGGCGAAATTTGAGTTTTAGTGGCAAGATAAAATCAAAGTAAAGTTACAGGGTTGTAACAAAAAATAAGCTACAAAAGAAAAAAAATACAACATTTTCAGTTACTTCTACTCGTCAGTGACAAAGAGATCGGATATGTTGCAAAACCCAAAATTCTTATACCTCCAAAGAGATTTACGATGATGTCATAGAACCCCAAAAGTTTCATAGTTGCAAAGAAATTTACGATGATGATGTGAGCAACCAGAATTTTCTCTTCGAGGCATAAAGAGAAAATCTTGTGTCATATATTGAAAATTCACGCTAACTTGGATTTTCTCGTCGAGGTATAGACTAATCATATAATCCAACCGACCATCGAACTGAAATGTTGAATTAGGTTTATTTGGGAATAATTATTCATGTGTGATGATATCATCATCAATATGGGCCATACTGTCTTCGAAGTGATCAAACCAGGCTGCGGAGAACAACTTAACCGGTTGGAATATGATTATGATAATATGGTTTTCACAATATGTGTAATTATATGTGAAGGTACATCATAATATTAGTGTATTAATATACATATGATTGTAGTGAAATAAGTTAATTAATTAATAAAAGAAATAATATAATCATTTATTTATTCACTTAATTAATTCTAAAAATATACGAACAATTGTATTTCAACGTGAAAAGTTACAACTTTCCCTAAAGAATACAACTCTTCTAGAAAGGTTATTTTTCGTCTCTATATATTTGTCAAATCTTTTTCAGTCAGATTCATTCAATTTCATAATCACTATCTGTTCATATTCTTCACACCATATTGTGACCGATAACATAAACGACATCCGTTTCTAATTTTGTAAACTACCCAATTTCCATCATAACCTTCTAGTGGCTAGCTATGACCACCAAGGCTTGGTGGGAGATGATCACTTTATTACACGCTTTCACTTGAACAAGCGTTTGTCGGTGACCCAATTGGGCTCATTGTTGTCAAGTGTCACCCCATGCAAATTAGAAATCATGGTGTTCATAGGTTTCTTCATTCCTCTTATTTGCTAGTAAATATATTTAGTTTCGTCCAACATCTCATTAAGATAACTCAACATTACTATTAAACATATGTATTGTGTACGTAAAATGCTAAATATTTGTTAAGCATTTTATGGTATATTAGCGAACGCGAGTCATTTTCCTATCAAATTGAAGCTTGAAAGAAATGAAATATGTGCCTAAAACAAAACCAGTTCATATACATATTTGTATAATGGTTTGTCATACATATTCTAATGTTACCATGTCATTGCTTTAAAATGAGTCGGAGCCTAGAACAAAATGTTGTGTGTCATACATGGAACATGATTTATAATTAATGATATTTTAAATTTAAAGATAGTCGTCTGTATCGTATATTCATTGTTTTTGTTTCATTATTCAATTCATTGACAACTGTAAATAGAATATAAAGGTAATTTTTACATCTTCGAATATGATCTTCTCATTTGACATTTTTTGCACAATTCAATCAAATATGACACACAATGATGTTTAACGGATGATAAACATGACAAAGATGAATATTTGACACAAAAATTATGAGTCATGACTAATTATAAAACAGTAAACAATTATCCGACCAAAACATAGCTAATAACAAGTCTAAACTCCAAATACAACATAATTAAAACGACGCAACATAATTAAGAGAGTTATTAACTGACGCAATAAAACCCGCCACCGCCGGTTGAGCACCCAGTTCTGCGAACAGCAACCACGAGACGACGGCGGAGACTTGAACTATAGCCAACAAAACAGACAAAACCTAGATACCAACTGCAAACGCTAGTAGCAACAACCCATGCTTTATTATTGCAACCATAAACTTCACTCTGAGAACCCTCAAACCGCACGATTCGCTTCATCTTGGCTGCAGACTCGGTCATCTTTGCTCCGCTAGGATCCTTCTTCTCGACACCCTTGATCACTCCCACGGCAACGGTCTGGCGCATGTCACGAACAGCAAAACGGCCAAGCGGAGGGTACTCGGAGAAAGTCTAGATAACTGACTTTAAACAACAAACCATCAACGGCATTGTAAGTGTATATAATCCATTTTTGGATCCATTTGTGCTTCACATAACTTGCAAAGACTGAGAGTCCTTGCTTCTGTGGGGTTGGACTCTGTTGTGATTGTTTCTCAAGCTGCAATACACTTGATGGTTGATACCATCTTGCTTGACTATAAAGTATCTTTATGTTGGAGATGTATTTTTATCGAATCTCTGAACTGAACTGTGCATCCATAACTTCTAGATCTGTATCATGCCTATTTCTCATGTTCTCTGTCACTTACAACTATCATTCCTAATTTCTAAACAATAAGGACTAAGGTCATATTAAGTTCTAAACAATAAGGACTAAGGTCATATAACAAAGTATATTGCATTAGTGCATAAATGCCGTTGCATTTTACATACATCCACACACCCCATTTTACTTCTCACACCTTTTTAATTTTCGGCCGTCGGATTGGATGAATTGAAGAAGATCAACGGATAGAAATTATCAAGGGGTGTGTGAGAAGTAAAATGGGGTGTGTGGATAGCACACCCCATCCAAGTATTGCCAATGTTTTTTATTTTAATAATCGATAATCTACACTAAGGAAAGGGAGTGGGCTTAGCCTCACAATGAGCTCTCGATAATATGGTTCAAATTCGCCTTTAGTGAGAATCAAACCTAAGAACTCTCACTTATAAGTAGGGAGGAATACCACTAAACCGTAGTACTAAGTGACTATTGCCAATGTATTTTAACATTGAAACTTCTACGAGGTATAAATAGTTAATGCACCATAAGGGTATGTTGAACATCAATACTTACAAAAATGTTATTCTTACTATCTATTTGTATCATCTCTCTAATGAAGATGGGACCCACACGTGTTGGTGGGTGCTACCTCTATTAGAGAGAAGATACAAATAGTGGTACAAAAATCTACTTAACGTTTTCAATGCAAATAGTATTAAGCGATAGAATGACATGAACATCTACCTAACATTTCAATGCAAATAGTATTAATCTTATGTAACACAATCTTTATACCTTTCAAATATAATCATTCGTAAGATTTCTGACCCCGACGCAATACACGGGCAAAGTTTTTTAGTATATACTAGATATCGATGAGTTTGTGTAGTTTTGGTTAATACCATTTACCTCTTGCACCTGAGTAATACCTGCTAGGCATATCTTGACATGTTGCGTCCATAGCACTCGCAAAATTATCTCGATATTACTCATCAGATTGTTTCGACATATGTCGACATCTGGTGACATGTTCTCACTATAATTTGGTTGACGACAACATGCCCACCAAGTGTTCGGAAAAATGGCTCAATGAATGAACTGAAATTTTTTTTGTGCACTTCACACTTTGTTTCTGCCTAGAAAAGTTGGACTTTTAACACTCATACCCCCAAAATTTGAATCCTAAATCTACCACTGTCTAAGATCTCAAGTTCGCTAGCTTTCTCCTCCTCAATACCACTTTTCTACAAAAAGCAAGAACGGTCCACCGACTAGATATTAACCTAAGGGTGCGTTTGTTGCGCCGGACTGTCTCGGACTGGACTAGCTGCCGGGACTAAGCTGGACTGGCTTAGACTGGACTAAGCTGGACTAACTTAGTGAAGCGTTTGGTGCAGTCTCGGACTAAGAAGCAGGATAAGAAAAACAGTACTGTTCACCAGATTTGTGTTTGCTTAGACTAGGACTACAAATTTTTGCCATTGTGTAATAGAGTAATGCTACAAATCTCATGATATGGGTTAATTGGAGCATATTTTTGCCATGTATATTATGAATCTTAAAAAAATTGACAATTGTTTTGTTTCTATTACCTGCTAATAGAATTGGGTTTAATTTGCAAATGTAGCTTGATTTAAACTCTATCACCCAACAGAAGAAATATTTTGCCTTAACTGAATTGCTAGCTCTCAGTGGGTTTGAGTGGAATGAAGAGAAAATGATGTTGGCTTGTGAGAAAAGTGCGTATGACGAGGCTACGAAGGTTTGCGTATATCTGATTGTATTTTTTGTTTTATCTGATTGTGTTTTGTTTTTAGAATCTCAGTTCCTTGATTAATTACACTGAGTTCAAAATCTCAGAGTTAATATCATCATCTTCTTAATTACGAATCAGGATAATGCACTAACAACATACATAGAAAAAGAAAAACCTCCATGGGAGGTAATTCCAAGTTCTTTACTGACACCATCACCATACACTCAGAAACCACTTGAAGCTAGATATTAGAAGGATTACAGTGCACATAAACAAAAACTGAGACTTGTATGAAAGACATAGCTTTTTAAATACCAGCTCTTTCATACTGTAAAGAAAAAAGAGTTATGACAAACTTATAGATGATCTGTTGATCTGCCAGCTTGTGTGGCAACATAAAAGAGTATATATATATATATATATATATATATATAGGAATTGCTTAAGGGGAGGGATCCCCATTTTTTCAAAAAAATGGGGACACGCTCCCCACCGTTGGATTTGAATTAAATGAAATCCTGTGGTTGAGATTCTATGGCCTGTGTTTTAATCTCAACCACACAATTTCATTAAAGTCAATCTAACGGTGGGGAGCGTGTCCCCATTTTTTTTGAAAAAATGGGGATCCCTCCCCTTAAGCTCTCTGTATATATATATGTATATCTTTTCGGAAAGGTTCACCCATCATCCCTCTGAAAAAAGGAAAAACTTAACATTGTTTTTTTGTTTTCCATAGCTAGCACACGTCAAAACATTCTGCCATGTCCATTATTAATTGTTCTGCCTCTTGTCCTTTCTTCAAAGATCGATTTTTCACTTCTTCCTCTTTACGCTGCCCTCTTCATCCTGTAATAGACCAAGAATTAATATATTGTATTACACGCCTTGTGTTTTGTGTTTTTTTTTTGTAGGGTAAAAAGGATGCAAGTGGATTGTACGATAAGCCTTTTCCGCACTACCACAGTTTGGGAGAGATTTATGCAAAAGATCGTGCTATGGGTGCAAATGCTGGTAACGCTGATGACGATGAAGAAGAAGTTAGACTTGAAGATGCCAATGTCAATCAACATGAAGGTGAGGATGAAAGTGGAAATGACTTTGATACTTCTTTCTCAGTACCAAATACCCAACAAGAAAGGAATGCAGAAAGTAACACATCAAACATTAGTCGCAAAAGGACAAGAGTAGCGGATGAAATGGCCAAGCAATTCTCTATTATGGCTAAAGCTATTGCCGATGTGGGACCTAAGATTGATGGTCTAGTTCATGCACTGTCAACCGATATAAATCTGACCGAAATGCAACAAAAAACTTGACAGTGAGTTGACCAAAATGGAGTTTTTGTCTCCCATGGATTTATTTAAAGTCACTAACTTCTTGGCCAAAGAACATGACCTTTTGAGGGTGTTTTTCAACATGTCTGATGAAAGGAAGAGTGCATATGTGACTACTTTGTTGCAGACTTGGATTCATAACGACATCTAAGTGATGGTCCAAATAATGTGAATGCTAGTTTTTTGCTATGACGTGCTTACTGCCATAATGACATATCAGGGAAAATTGTGAATGTTTTGTAAATCTAATGACTTATTAGATGACACCATAATGGTGAAGAACTACTTTTTGTTGGTATTATGATGTTTAGGCAGGTTAAGAATATTTTGTTGACAATCTGATGTGTAGGCAGGTTATGAATATTTGATAATATGATGCATACGCAGGGTATGACAAGTTTGCTTAGGTTGGTTATGGTGGTTAGATAGATGTACTTTAATGTAAAATATTAACTTTAATGAAGTTATTTCCTACTCTTTGTTTGTTACTAATATTTTTTTCTTCATTTATTTACTATTATACAAAATTCACCTCTTGAAGATCACTTTAGTTCAAGGGGAATCAAGTTTTTTGATTTGAAATGGTAAAACAAAATTTCTTCTACTCCTTGACATTATGTAGCAAAAATATATCTTTGAAGAGTTAAGACTGAAAATGCTCCTAACAATTTCTTTCCATGTCCTTCTTGCTCATTAAGCATAATTCTATGCTCATTCACATTATGCACAACCAGTGGCGGAGCCAGGAATCTTACCACAAGGGGTCGTAGTGTAAAAGTCCAGAAAAAAAATTTAGGATGGAAATGTTAAAGTTAATGCTTTACTTAAACTGATTATGTGTAAAAGGGCTGACTGTTGCCTTTATTAGTCGACCCATTCTATTTATCAGTCGACCCATTCTATTTATCAGTCGACCCAATTACTTCAGTCGGCTTATGTATTGAACTAGGGCTGACTGTTGCCTTTATCAGTCGACCCATTCTATTTATCAGTCGACCCATTCTATTTATCAGTCGACCCAATTACTTCAGTCGGCTTATGTATTGAACTAATTCTGTGTAAAAGGGCTGACTGTTGCCTTTATCAGTCGACCCATTCTATTTATCAGTCGACCCATTCTATTTATCAGTCGACCCATTCTATTTATCGACCCATTCTATTTATCAGTCGACCCATTTTATTTATCAGTCGACCTAGAGTAAATTCAATCGATCTAAAGTAACTCCTAAATACATGCAGAATCAGTTTGTTACTCAATACATAATCAGTTTGTTACTTCATGCAGAATCAGTTTGTTACTCAATGCAGAATCAATTTGTTACTTCATGCAGAATCAGTTTGTTACTCAATGCAAAATCAGTTTGTTACTATTATATACTATATCAAAAAATATTAAAAAAAAGTATATAAATATTTTGATTTGGGACAAGGGCATTTTAGTAATCATACTGGTTTATATTCCGATTCTGCTGAATTAGTAAACAGCTTTATGGAATTGTATTCCGATTCCAGACAGTTTTAGTAAACAATTTCAACAAGAATCTGATTCTGATTCCACCTCATTTCAATTCATCCTCAATCAAATTCCTCCTCAATCCGATTCCTCTCAATTTGATTACGGATTAGTAAACGCGCCATAATAGTGGCCAATACATGCAACTTCAACAAATACAAGTACATAAGATCTCCATAATTTAGAAAATCCTAGTTAACATTAGTTAACATTAGCCAAAATAGATCTCTATAATTTACAAAATGGCTAGTTAACATAAGCCAAAATACTAGTGCAAAGCTAAGTTATAAGTCATAACATAAGATTGTATGATTAATAAAATACATCCATGTTAACGTTAATAAAATACATCCATGTTAACATTAGCCAAAATCCTCATCCGCTTGCGTTGTCGCTTAAAAGCCTTTGGACGAACACTTTCTTGAGTTCCGGTTTGATTGCCCTGAACACTCCCACATTTTTTGGTTTATCCAAAATAAAAGACAATGCATCAATTTGATCCATAGGAGAGAGACCCATTGCTTCAAGTTCATTAGCTATGTCAGTATGATCTGCAGTACCTTGAACTAAAGCTTCAGTTACCATTTGCATCCTCTTCCCACTTTCAAATATACAGGTGGCGTTGAACCCGAGGCAACAAATATACAGGTGGCGTTGAAAAAAAAAAAGTTTTCATTAACCCGAGGCAACAAATATACAGGTGGCGTTGAAAAAAAAAACTTTTCATTAACCCGAGGCAACAAATATACAGGTGGCGTTGAAAAAAAAAAGTTTTCATTAACCCGAGGCATCATATTCAAAATGTTCTACTCTTATACATCTATAAACATGTGTCTAAGAACACTAGTATGAGGATTGCTATCATTGCTAGGCATTGCATGTGAAAAGGGAAATTAAAGGACACCTGTAATGCAGTAGCCTTAGCCTTAGCCTTCCGTTTATGCTCCTCTTCTCTGCAACCAACAACCACAACAAATTGCAATTCAGCATCAACCCCACACAATACAAAACATTCACATTGTATACACACTGCATACATACACACACTGCAAACACAGTACATACATACACACACTACATACACTGCATACACTACACACACACTACATACACTACACACACACACTGCATACATACACACTGCAAACACAGTACATACATACACACACTCACATACACTACACACACACACTACATACACTACACACACACACCCTGCAAGTACACACACATGCATGCATACATACATACACACACTGCATACACCCTGCATACACCCTGCATACATACACACTGCATACACAGTACACAAACACACACACTGTATACACCTTGCACACACAGTACACAAACACACACACACTACATACACTACACACACACACTGCATACACTACACACACACCCTGCAAGTACACACACAGTGCATACATACATACACACCATGCATACACCCTGCATACATACACACTGCATACACAGTACACAAACACACACACTGCATACACCTTGCACACACAGTACACACACACTGCACACACACACACTGCATACACACTCATTCACACACACACTGCACACACACACACTGCACACACACTCACACTCACACTCACACTCACTCACACTCACTACATACACTACACACACACACTGCATACATACACACTGCAAACACAGTACACTACACACACTACATACACTGCATACACTACACACATACACACTTATTCACACACACACTGCACACACACACACTGCTTACACACTGCACACACACTCACACTCACACTCACTCACACTCACTACATACACTACACACACACACTGCATACATACACACTGCAAACACAGTACACTACACACACTACATACACTTCATACACTACACCCTGCATACATACACTACACACACACTGCATACATACACACTGCAAACACAGTACACTACACACACACACACTACATACACTACACACACACACACTGCATACACTACACACACACCCTGCAAGTACACACACACTGCATACACCCTGCATACATACACACTGCAAACACAGTACATACATACACACACTACATACACTGCATACACTACACACACACTACATACACTACACACACACACTGCATACATACACACTGCAAACACAGTACATACATACACACACTACATACACTACACACACACACACACACTACATACACTACACACACACACTGCATACACTACACACACACCCTGCAATACACACACAGTGCATACATACAGACACACACTGCATACACCCTGCATACACCCTGCATACATACACACTGCATACACAGTACACAAACACACACTGTATACACCTTGCACACACAGTACACAAATGACACCGTAATCTTATATTATTACATACGAATCGAATAAATTCAAGATACAAGATCTTTGGACCAATTTTATGAATCAATATTCTGTTAAACGTCCTTGATTCGGTATCAATTTCCTAAGACACATAAAGCAGAATAATAGAGCAACAGAGTAAAACCAGAACTCAAACTAATCAATCGTGCCTCAAGAAGATCTCCCTATTTAGATCATATCACCAGATTCACCACATCCATTTCTACCAAATATCACGATGCAGACTATCCGTTCCAAACCATTAACGTAATCCGAATGAAACACTCAAAACCAAGAGCGATGCACACATCTAAACATAAAGTTGATAAAAATCTCAACATTAAAGAACCATTTCAACTATATTGGCATAGAAGAAAAACCAAACGTCTGTGTGTGTGTATACATATGCAACTCAACCACTACATTCCTCATCGAAACTTTTGATTCGTTTATAAAATTAAACAAACAACAATTACCAAAATCAAATTAATCCGAATTCCAACTAATAAACAACCTAATCAAATCATACATCGATCAAGCAAACCAATCAAATCTCCACAATTTCCATCAATAATTTTCAATCAATGGATTTGATTAGATCCAATAAATACCTAAACAGATCCAACGATGATATTGTTGATGGGGATGAAGATCAGCTTGACGAAGAACCCGACGAAACCCATCACGACGAACCCGATCGCTGTCCGGAGCGCGACCTTGGAGAATTCTACACGACAATCAACCATCAAATCTCATCAATTACACATGCATATCAAAGAATATAACTTGTGAGAAAACACAGATCCGACCCGAATGCTGAATTACCTTTGCGATCGGGCTTGTGACAGCGCTTGACGAGGCGAATGCTGTCCTTGGAGAACTCTCGGAGCAGATCTGTTACGTGAAGACGAGGGAGCGGACGACGAGAGGAACAGATGAGGAGCAGGATGCAGATGAGGGCGACCAGGATGCAGCTGACGGCGAGCAGGACGCAGAGATGAGGATGAGGAGGACGACGTGAGGGAGGAGGTCTTACGAATCCGGACGTTTTTGGGGTGGTTCGCTAAGAACTGCTAGCGA